ATATATTCTGTATACGATAATTTTTGTTCGTAAATGAGCTCTTTCAATGATATACAACCAGCTAAAAAATATTTAGTATTATATTATAACTTTTACACAATTATGATTTTATAATTGTGTAAAAGTAACAGTATGCTAATCAAACTACCTGATGTATAATTAATTCTCGAAAAGGAAATAATAAAAGAATGCGAGATATTATTATTTTGTGAAATATTATACACAAAGATTTGTTCTTATTTCATACAAATGGTTCACTGCATTATTTTCATATAAAAATGAACATATTCAAAGAATCCTATATTTTCTCTTCAAAAATAATTACAAAATTGATTTTGATTCCCAAGTTTTTTGTCAATTTGAAACTTGTATGCGTATTGAAATGCATAAAATAGTAAATATTATAATAAAATGAACCAAAATGTTTAAACCATTTGTAAACTATTTCCAAGGTCTTAATAAATCCTTCGATATGTTAACAACACACTATAGAACACATTTGTGTCGAGTATTATGTATCAAAGTTGTCGGAGTCGTGGAGTTGTTAAGTGGATATAACTCCTCTCTGAAGCGTAGGCAAATCCTAACCGATCCGGCTTCGGATATGATAAGCTCATATCTAGTATGTATGTATGTATGTTTGGATACAAATATTCGTCCACAATTTAGAGAGCATGAAAGAATTCAAAAATGCGAAAAAAAAAGTTTAAAAAAAAATTAAATTACGATACTGAAAGATCCAGCAATTAACCTTGAGGCGCGATGCCATACACCACTAGTTGTTTTAATTATGGTAATCCATAACTAGAGTAATAATTTGAAATTAATTGCTTGTTTGCCATCTGTGAGTCTTCATATATTTAGTCGTATGTGTGTGTATTCCGTGTATATGTATCAAACATGACTGTGATAAATGGCGACTTGTAAGAAACGTCCGCAGTGTTCTTCGTTCTCATCAACGATGGATGCGTAAAAGCTACTATATAATAGTGATTGTGGGCGCATACTACTATACTGATACTACTATACACGTTACTCCAACGTATATAGTAATCACGGACTGGTTCTACATTTTTTTTCTTTGTGCTGAACTGAACGCATTGGCTCAAATCGTGACTCTTCCAAATACAAAGGCATCGTAAATTACACATTCCTCGCATGGGATACTCGTTGCATTGTTCCACGAATACATTGAAATTCATTGTATGTCTCGAAAAAGTTTGACATTGCGACTAACATTGAGTGTTCAGCTTGGAACGGATTAAAACAAACAAAAAACGCGAATTTGTGCGCACGACAAGTGATACATCACCGTGCATTTTAATTTCTTATTGGCACGACGCTAATTTTATTTCGACATTTTGTATGACCGTCCCGAATTTCAATGTAAATGTAAATGATATGAACAGTTCATATTATAAACATACGAACACACCCATTTATATCACAAAAATAAGTAGCATATCTTCCAAGATTAATTTTTTTAAACCGTATCATTCTCAGATTTCTTTCCGAAGGGGAAATTTGTGTTTTCGCTAGATACTTCAATTACCCAATTTAATACAAGACGTTTCACATCATCTTGAATCATTTGAGACCAAAATTGGATGGAGTGTTTGCGTATGTGACTCATTTTTGGCTAATACTTAAAGGCCATTGGATGGAACTCGTTAAGGACTCGCGTGTAGTCTTTCGTGTGTAGATCAGCTGAGCCATTTAGCATAAAAATGTAAAAATATTGTTCTGCAAAAACTCTGCACCAATTTTAGTTGGAAATCATACTGATTACTTTTAGACAAAGATCGGTTGAACCATTTTTTCGTAATTAATTGTTGAAAAAAAGGACTATTTTTGGTGAATCTTCTCATGATGTTAAAAGTTATAGTCTTGACGAACATCAAAATAAAAGTGATTTGATCATAAAAATTCTTGGAATAATGGACCATACTAAAATTTTGTCAAAAATGCATATCGACACAACTTCAAAAGTTGCTAAAATAAATTCTTATTGCCTTATTGCTATATGTCGATTATTTATGGTCATATGTAGGATGTAGGGATGTTTTCGCAACTTGTGAAAAATGGCAAGACAAAGTTTAAGGCAAGGCAAGGATTAAGTCAAAATGCCACTTACAATTAGTTTTTTGTAATAATTGGATAAATTGAATTATTATATATCTTGCAAATACTTTATAGTAAGATAGTTAATAATTAAGTTAATCAATGAAAAAAGAGTCAACCATGGAATCAATAATAGCACCAATAAAGAATATATTTTTTCTGAAAACTTATTTTGAGTTCATAAAATTTGGACTATTGTCTTATAGCTTTCCTTTAGCAGAACAATAAATTTGTTTATGCTAATATTAAAAATGGGTATAAATATATTAGGATGAGCAATATTATTGTTCCACTGTATGAAGGGTAGGACTATTGCCGAAACGTATTGATATTACAGCAGCTTTAACAATTTGCGTTGATATTTTGTGAGTATTCACACTCTCGTGCAAATACTTTTGTGAGTATTCACACTCTCGTGTAAATAGTTATATTTTTACATGAAAAATTTCCATAAATTATATGCATATTTTTTAGGCTTAAGTTAGTCCAGTAAATGTGATGACTATTTTTAATATACATTTTAGATGATAGTATTTAACTGACCAATAAATATTTGTTAATGATTTTTTTTATTTTAAATTAAATTAGCATTTATATGATTGCAAATATATTCTTTTTATAGTCTTTTAAAGTACGAAATATAACTTTTATGAGTTCTGAACTCTGAATACAAATTTAATAGTCGTACAACGTTGCGCCAAACAGTGAAAAATAATCATGTATTGCATAATGTTTGACTTAATCCTTGTATTGTTTCTCTATCATTTCCGAAACTTTAGAAAGAGATGATAGATCGTCGTTTGTCGAATTTTGTGCGGGTGCGCCACGCTCGATTACGACTATCGCGTATTTCATTGATTCTCAAACGTTACTCAGTCGTAATTTTTGGAAAATGCACATTTTACAAATTTTTACCAGAGAAGATAATTTTGCATATTAAAATGATATAATTTGATTTTTTATTATCTTTTTTATTTACAACTGTCCAGTAAAGGACATTCAATAAATTTCATGAATTTACAATAGTCGGCCGAAAAGGGACATTGTATACTACAAGGGCATGTTGGAAAAAACACTCAGTAGATGTTTTTCCACTTGATATAAAATTCACAATATTTTATTGATAATTATATAATTTTAACTATTTACTTATTCAATAATTTCTTATAAGTAATGATTAAGTTATTTCCATTTCTTATCAGGAGTGTTGATGGCTCAAATCCAGTGGCGCTTTTCTTTTCAATCTTCTTGAATAGTTCTCGGTTATCAAAGAGTTTGCTAATGAATTTGGGTATAATTTGAAATGATACTAATTTATTTATATTTATCTTTTGGAAATGTTTTTGAGAAAAAAATCGATTTGCTAAATTTAAGTTTTCTAGACGTTTCAAGCATTCTGAATCGAATGTGACCAAATTTGAAAAAAGTGCTTGTGCATGTGGGCATATTTTTTTATTTTTCTCAAAAACGGCTAAATCAATTTCAAAAATTTAAAAGCCATTCGATGTAACTCGATAAGGACGAGAGCTTGCCAATTTTGCGCGACGATCAGCCAAGCCTTTTCTTTATAATTAGCAGAGGAGTGTATAACTTCGATCATAAAAAATCAAAAACTGCTCGAAAGATATTAGTTGGTAATCGCGTTGATAATCGAAGTTTTTGTAAAGATCGGCCGGCACGTTTCTTCGTAATTAAATTTGGAAAAGAATTCACGATTTTGATCTAATTTTATGTAACCATAGATTTTGTTCTGAAATTACATATTAAAATGTTATAGGTCTACGATTAGCGGTTGAATTATAAAATGTCATCAAAGTTTAGAATGTCGCTGCGTGTTTAGGCCATTCTAATCAGAATCTATACTAAAGTATATGTACGTTCTGTGGTGTTTTGTAAGTAGCTACTGATTACAGTTGACGTCAACATAAAATACAAAAATAAATTATAAAAAAATAATAAAAAATACATAACAAATAAAATACATTTTTGAAACATGAAAATGACAAAATAAAATATGTAAAACAAATTATTTTAATGTATATAATTGCAGAAAGTATGTTTCCAGATAGCAATTGAAAATACTTTTCAATGAAAGTGAAATATTTATTTTATATATAATAAACATTTAACATTTAATTAGTTAATTAGTTCTAATTTTCATCAATTTTCACATGCCAGGAAGTCTATGCAACTTGCCTTAAGGCAAATACTACTTACAACTAGTTATTTTATTTTTTATGAAAATAATACTGTACAATTACACATGATCGTGTATATGTCGTTTTTGTGATATTGAAAATAAATATTTCAATACAAACATAACTGCAGTTAGTAAAAATTATGGAAAATAGTCAATAGAATGAAAATTGTGAAAATATACTTTGAGAATCAAATCTCGTTTGTGCTTTCACATACGTCTTGAGAAAAGTCATGCTCAAGGAAGAGAAGCTGAATATCGCGCACTCCCTCGATTGATCTTACGTAGGTCATGTCTTACAGTCGGTGTGCGTGTATGCGTACTCGGTCCATTGTCATCAATGGGTTGCGGTAGAGTTTATATATTTTAGAAGGTAAAGTATTTAAAGAATCGAATCGTATTTCGCGAATTTTCATGCAATTTCGATTATCGTCTGAAAGTATTGAACAAATTAGTCGATATTGTTATGATTAAAGAATGGAAAGATCTGAATGCGCACAGCTGTGAAGTGTGCCCGTGTTAGCCGGTACCGGTCCTCCCCTACTATCGCTGGAATGAACGTGTCCCACTTCAGCTGACTGCATCGCCTGGTGGCGTACGGGTAGAGTTTATCGTTGTAGTATCTTGCGAGCCGGCTTTGACAGAAGCAAGATATAATGCTTAAAATTTTAGTATCGTAATATTCAATAATTATCGAATGTACTAAACGATGTACATGTACGCGTAAACGGTGTCAGTTTTGCGTGTTGTTGACATTCGCTACCGATAAACGGCGACGCCGTGCCAGTTTGACGTTTGTGCGGCCGCTAGCTGTCAGATTGAGTATTGTGTGTATCGTCGGCGTGCGTGTAGTGTTTATCGCCGAGAAGAAATATGCTCAAGTATTTGACACATAAACTTCGAAATCATTCGCTGAATGAGGAAAACCCAGAGGAAAAGGTGAGTTTAATTATTGTGGAAACAAGTAGTATTCGTATTATTTTGAAGGTCACTTTTGAATGTGTCGAGAAAATGGCGGATGTGTAGTACATCCCGAGAACAAAGACTCGGAATTCAGTGAATTTTTAAATATCGTAATATCATACGGTAACATAAGTTTTAGTTTCGTAAAATATATATTTGTGTTGAGTATTTAACGATTTTTCTGTGAAATGTTATTCAATACATCGGGAGTTATGGAGAATTTAATACCGGTATCAAATATGGCTGACAATGTGACATGATATCGTATATTATCCGTATGTTGTATTACAAATAATTTTGTTATTTTAGGTTGACGGACACGATTCGGGAACAGAATCTGATGACGAGATCGATCGGCCCGAAATGCTCGGTAAGTGATTTTCTATTCTACTATTTAATAAATAATTATTCGTACATTGTAGTGTATTGTTCGCGACTCCTCGTACAATTACCATTCCATTACCATGTAAATATAAGACTCCCGCTGGGTCGAGTGTATTGCACAAGAAAAGTTATTGTATAATCCTTCCTCGCTCGGTTACATCTCTATTTTAAAAGTTGACGGAGCAAAATCGCATGTATATTCTATTCACTCGTTTTGATGGATTTTTTATTCAAATTTAAATGTAATGCCGACCGCATTTAAGTTGAAGCAAAAAACGTTTTATGTCTTTCTGGGGATCCTTTTAAATCTTTATATTACTTTTAATGTCATTTTTGCAATATTCCTTCTATTGGCTTTCTTGACGTATTTCGCAGAGTGTTGACTGCAACCTTTCGTTTCATATATAATTTTATATATATTATAATTCGAGCGAATGTGTTAATATATAAAATATAAATTTTTAGTTCCATTAGGGAAGAGCGGGACTTAAAGGCCAGCGGGTTTAAAGGTCCACCACCGATATCTCAAAAACAAGTGAAGATAGAATTTTCTAACAATATTTGAAAGTACAGGCCAAAATCTACATCGCCTTAAATCAAGCAACATCGCTATCAGAAAATACAGGGCAATGTTTGAAAATCCATAACAAATGTATTTATTTTCTTTCGTTGTTAATGTTTTTGGTTGTGATCACTGTTGTTTAGTTTGAGACCTTAATATAATTTTTAAGCATACGTTATTTAATTATCTTATGAGATCTATTGTTAATTTCAAGTTAGTTCTTTTTATATAACCTCTATAAATGCTTACATGTGGTTGGGGTAAAAATGACTAACTAAATCTTTATCCTGGCAAAGGTAAAGATTAATAAATAGTGAATGAAAATATAAATTCAGTTAAAAAAGCAATTTTACACGGAATAGACTAAATTAATAGTTATTCCAACTTTGATGATGATTTTTTCTGATGAAATGCCAGATCAAGGTTATATTACAATGTTATTCCTGTACAAAATGTACACATGAAATTTATATTTGCATTGGTTGCATAATGTAGCTGTTATTTTGCAGTATCTCTTTAAATTTAAAATCTAGGCATTGGATCTGTTTGGCTCTTGCTTGTCCCTTTTTACCCAGTCTATGGGGTAACTAGTGATGCATGGCATCGTGCCTTAAGGCAAATTGCTGGAACTTCCCGTACCTTAACGGAATGTTCGAGGAATAATAAATGTTTTCAAATAGATTATTATAAATACTGTATCATTGTCTAATATTTATAAGAATTATATAAACTGAATTGCAAAGTTGAAATTATTTGTTTAAGGTATATTAGAACTTTGATGAGAATTAAAATTAAAATCTCAGGTAGTTTTGATATACAAAAAAATTTTTTTTTGAAAAAAAAAATAAACAATTTTTTTTTCCAAAAGTAATTATTTTGTTAAAACAAGCAGAAAGTTCTTTGAATCATACAAACCGGACGCTTAGTTCTCTCAAAAACTGCCATTCTTTGCACATTTAGCTCTTTATCTTCCAAATGGCTGGACCTGCCTTTGCCAGAAACTAAATCACATCTTCTCCCAATCATTATTAATTGAATGTTTTTTAGATCATTCAAATCGGATATTCCATTTTCTCAAAAACTTGATTTGTATTTTCTGCACTCTTTACTCCGTATCTCCGTGACGGATAGACCTGCCTTTGCAAAAACTAATCAGATCATCCCCCTATCAATAGGAATCGAATGAATTCAAACGATTCAAATCGCTTGATCCGTGCGCCCGAAAACGTGGCCAAAATGTTCAGAAACCTTGAAAACGTGAAGATATACAAAATTTTCATTTTTGATTTTCGGCTCATTACTATAACTACCCTACGGGAAGTTAAAAATAGAGAAATTTCAGAAAAACAGCAAAAACAACATTTCTATAAGGAATTCACTGCGAATTTTACACGCATTATATGTTCAAAATTAAAAAATTAAATTTGAAAAATTTGCTTTATTTGCCTAAAATACACACATTGATTTTTACATAAAGATACAAATTGAATACACCTATTCTGGGAATACCATTATACTATCATAATATAATATTGTTTGCATATATATGCACTCGTATATATGTGTTTCAATTAACTTATATAAGTATGAAAAGAACTATTAAAAACATACTGCCAATTATGTGTTTAAAGTTTAAGAGTCAAATTGGACCTTTGTGTCCTTCCCTACATTATGTACTATTTATTACATTTTTTTCAATCATGTAAGTGCAATTATTATATTTCTGATTTTTCCCTTTGGTTTTCATCGTCATTCTAATCGAAAAGTTCGTAATTTTGCATATTGAGATCCGTCTGCCTCTGTGACAAAACAATGCACTGAAAACGAATCTAATCAAAAAAGGCGTTCTATTAAAATCGTTTATAGTGTAAAAACGCACAGAACCAACCGACTAGTTATATCAGTTCTACCTACATATACACATGCGAACGAATGTAATGTATTGTATATTGATATATCGAATGCACAGTAATAGAAACGGCCAATGACCTAACTGTGTGCAAACACATATGTACATGTATATATGAATACTGCGACAGCTCCCATGTGTATGCGCGAGTGAATTTGCGTACACACATTTTTTTCATTCGCATTCTAAGTCCGCCGGTATCCATATAGTACGCATATAAACATTGAGTAATGAGCCACGCCACTTCGCTTATATGTTGTATTTAAATAATTTTATTAGTTTTTTTTAAATTCTGTTCATTTCATTTTATCCATCAATTTTTAGATTTTATTCTGGACGATCTTAACTTATTCGTGGACGTGAATGCTATAGCATTCAGCTATAGCAAGCAAAATGCGTAAAGTAGAAGCGAAATGCTTCACGTGGATGCTATAAAAACAGTTCAAAAATTTATTTTGAAAATGAAGATTTCACTTTCATTGAAAAGCATTTTATATTGATATATTAGAAACATACATATCTTCTGTAATTATATGATTTTTTTTTTTAATTTATTTGAACAGCGATCAGAGCTTATGGGTTCTATGAGCTGTTGTGATAAATTTTTTACAAACTACGTTTGTTTTATTATAGATGGCAACTAGGGTTTATACAAAAACCGACATTTAAGAAAACCGGTTTTCGAATTTTATATAGAAAATAATTTTTTACTCGAATTCTGTAATTTATCAGCAAGTTTAGTGCGATTTATAGCAGTATTTGACTGAATTTATTTATTGTTCAATTTTATGGATTGTAAACAAAATTATTTTTATTTTAATTAACTAAGCAAATTATAGTTTATCTTGATTAAATAACTTTGAAAATAATTATTTGTTATTCATGCAAAATTTTCACATACACGAATAAAAATAATTTTATGATAATGGAAGAAAAGTTTTCGAATAAATAAAAATAATACATTTTTAAATAAAAATATTGATTAATTTAAAAAAAAAACATGTTGATACATACTTGTTAATATCAATGTTAGTTTTAAAAAGAATTAAGCTAAACTCGGGTATTGTCTGTTCCGAGCAATTTTAATTAGTTAATTATAAATTTCTAATTGTTTTTTTGTTTAATAAAATATGACTTAAAAAAATTTAGAACGTCTATCGAATGGCTACTTAGACGTGTCTTTTGTTTACTCGCAATATTTCCTGAAATAGAAAATACTCTCATACTTAGGAATTAGGCTTAATAGTTTTTTGTTCTCTTATTTGTGGCTTCTGGGGCTAAAAACTCTTTTTTTAAGTTTGAGTAGAGGAAGTTACTTCAAGAAGAAGTCACACTGATTTAAATTAATATACACATTAGACAAAAGATAAAACAAAACCTTTCTGGGAACCATTGCAGACTGATAAGATTCCAAATGCTATTTAACCGATATGATTTCAAGAATCAAAACGCTTTCATCTATCTTTTATATTTGGCTATATTTGTCATTTTCCATTTATACAGTAAAAACCTACTTTTTTCACTAAAAACCGGTTTTCGAATTCCATAATTTCCGTCAAAAAACCGGTTTTTGAAAACCGACAAACCCTAATGGGTACCCAAACAGTTATCTCATCTCTGTGCTGAATTTTGATTATTACAATTATTGTAATAGTGATGACTTTTTATTGTTGCAGCAATGCCGTATTAGGGCTGTTTTTACTTGGAAACATATTGCTATCTATATTTCCAAGTGAAAATCGTTGTCATTGCTGTCTGACAACAGGCTGCTCGAAGTGGGTATCGAACCCGAGACCCCTGTCCAGGTCCAGTCGTTCTAGCCACTTACCTACTAGCGAGCTCAATTATATGAATTAAAATAAATTAACATATTTCATTTTATCCTTTTCGTGTTATTATGTATTTTATGTAGACGCCGACTCTAATCAGTAGCTACCTACGAAACACCACAGAACGTTCAGATGCTTTGGCATAGGTTCTGATTAGAATCGTCTAAATGCATGGCGAAATTCTAACCTTGATGACATTTTATAATTCAACCGCTAATCGTAGGCCTATAACATTTTAATATATTAATTCAAGCTTTCGTAGCTATCTATGATTATATCTATGATTATATAATATTTCATCAAAATCTTTTTTTCAAACGTTTAAATAATTTTATTAGTTTTTTTTAAATTCTATCCATTTTATTCTATCCATTTTGTTCTGGACGATCTTAACTCATTCGTGGACGTGAATGCTATAGCATTGTGCACTTTCATTGTGATGCAGAATGACGTGGATGCTACAGCATTCAAATTTTTAAGTCAATTATTTTAAATTTATTTTGATATAACCTTACGTTATTGTAACTATTATATTTGTGAAGGTAATGACTAACTGATTCTTTAGGTATCTTTGTATTATTTCGGCTTTTCTCGTAGTCACCAATTAGCTTGGAGAAGCAAATTGCGTAAAATAGAAGCGAAATGCTTGACGTGGATGCTATAGCATCCATGGAAGAAACAGTTGA